AAAAAAAAAAAGCATGGTCTAATTTGCATGCCAGTCTAATATATGAGTATCCAAAGGTACCAATATATATTTTGAAAACGATGTACAGAATAGTTAACTTCTCATGGGTCAGGTGTGCATCTGATTAGATTAAAACATCACTAAAAGGCTTTCCTATGTTTTTAAGGTATCATTATTAATTTATTTCATAGTGTATATTACCATAAGCTTTGGGGAAAAATCATACGCATCTTCCTAGAGTCATGACTCAATTAATGCTATTTTTCAATTGTAGATATTTTCAGGTCGCCCGATGTTATCGAGATGAAGGTTCAAGACCAGACAGACAGCCAGAGTTTACTCAGGTACTAAGTTATATTCCCTTGTCTTTTACATGTTCAGGCTTACTACTGCCAAGTATTTTCTTCAAGAACAGGGCAGTCACATTTTATATACTTTACTTCTCACTACATTCTATCTGTTAGATATTTAATTAACTAATGATTCAATTTTGATTCATTTTATGTGTCCTTTTAATAAGAAATGTGGTCATCAACTGAGGAATGACAGGAATTCCTACAGTGTTTTAATGCTAATGATATGAGTATGCTAAAGCTTTTAAATACTAAGAACCAAAAATTCAGCCAAGCATGGTGGCTCACACCGGAATCCCAGCACCCTGGAAGGCCAAAGTGGGAGGATTGCATGAACTCAGGAGTTTGAGATTGGCCTAAACAAGAGCGAAACACTGTCTCTACTAAAATAGAAAAATTAGCTGGGCATGGTGATGCACGCCTGTAGTCTCAGCTACTCAGGAGTCTGAGGCAAGGGGATCACTTGAGCCCGGGAGTTTGAGGTTGCTGTGAGCTATGATGATGCCAAGGCACTCTGTCATGGGGTTACAGAGTGAGACTCTGTCTCACAAAAACAAAAAAACCCAGATGTACAATAATAAGTATGTACAAAATCCCATGGTAACTTAAAAGCAGAGAAATATGTGTATAAATATGTATATATTGTGGCTATTCAAATTAGTTTCCATATATTATTTTGGTTTCAGATTGACATAGAGATGTCTTTTGTAGACCAGACCGGGATTCAGCGTTTGATTGAGGGTTTACTCCACTGTTCCTGGCCCAGTGACAAAGATCCTGTGGTGGTTCCTTTTCCTTCCATGACTTTTGCTGAGGCACTGGCCACCTATGGAACTGATAAACCTGACACTCGCTTTGGAATGAAGGTACTTCTCGTCACTTTTCCAGGACTGTGCCCCCAAATAGTCCTGCAGTCTTTTAAACCGCTTTGAAATTCACAAGTGTCACACAGTCAAATTGTATTATTGTTGTACTTCAGCAGCTTATTAGTGAGCTACAGCAAGAGAGAATAAGAGCTTGCTTTTTTTTCTATCTACCGTATTCCAAGACTCATTTCCAAGAGTCAGTCAAATTCTTACTCTAAAGTTTTTATTACTTACAAGTTATTGATTATATGGACATGAATGGTAACCCAAAAGGGAGAACTATCCAATTTTTTTAAAGCCAAAATGGCACTTGGAAGGCAAAGATGATTTGTTTTCCATGGTCTATAAAGGATCAAAGCATGTGAAAGCATGTTTATTCAAATCATTGGTATCTATAAGTATTTAAGGTCAAAGGTAGAATTTATATAGAGCCATTTCACTATGAGACCTCCCATTATTTGCTCCTGGAAAGCCATATCCCTTGATCTCTGTAATGCCGTTTCAGTGCACATTCCTTAGAGACTGAATTCTGCCCAGTATATGAATAGTCATTGCTCAATTCTGAGAATGAAAACTATGTAATAGAAAAAGTCATAACTCCCTCCTTGTTTCTTCCTTTGATGGAATGGTGGTTCTACCACTTACTAGCTATGTCATCTTGAGCAAGTTACTTTCCTCTCTGTGTCTCAGTTTCTTCATCTATGAACTGGGGATTATAAGAGGCCCAACCTCATACTATTGTACAGATACGATGAATAAATATATGTAAAACATTGTTATTGTGCTTAACCCATGGTAAATGCTCTATGAATGCTATCTAATGTTAACTTATCAAATGTTGAATATTATCAAAACTGTTCTCTTCTTGAAAATCTTGTTTGTAAAATGTTTTGAGAAAAAAATTACTTCACATTTAGTTACCCCTTTTTGTTACCCATTTTTCAGATTATCGATATCAGTGATCTGTTTAGAAACACAGAGATTGGATTTCTTCAAGATGCACTTAATAAACCCGAAGGAACCATCAAAGCCATATGTGTCCCTGAAGGAACAGTAAGTGAAGCATCATTCTGTTTTCTCTAAAATGTATGCTTGAGAAGTAAATGTGTTCAACACTGGCACATTTGAACTTCAGAAAAAACACTTCTTTCTAAATAAAAATGTTTTTATATAAAGTCTAAAAGTATCTGAAAACAATTAAACTTTATAACTTTATATCCAAGATCCAGGGCTTTTTTTTTTCCTTATTAACAATGTTAAGTAGTAATCCTATACTTCATTTGGAATAATATCATCATGAATATTTTATGAGCATTAAGTAGTGCTCAGTATTCTGTCTCCAGCCTCAGTATGTTGACACCTTCTCAGCCCATACGAATTCCAGCATAGTCATTGCATGTTGACTATTGGCCTTTTGAGGTTCTCACTTCAATTGCATTAATAATGGGAAGAAAAGGAGGTAGAACTAAAAAAGCAAAAAGGAAGGAAAATAAGTAGGGGTAGAAGAGAGAGAGAATAGTTAGCAAGCATTGACTCTAAAACAATGAGACATACCTATTTTCTATAGTTAGTATACCTACTTTGAAAGTAATTTAATACTTAGTAAGAGGCATCCCATAGGTGTTTTGAATAAGCTTATGATTTTGAATGATTGTACTCATTCAGATACATAGGAGATTAATAGATTCAGAATGGGGTGAGACCTCATTACTTTTTATTTACTTCACAAATTCAGCAGAAAATAATATGGTGCCAGACATAACAAATGTGTTCAAGGGAACTCAGTGTAGCATATTGTCTCTACCCCAATTTGAGTATGTCTGTTCTTCCCTGAGTAGATACAAGAAGTGCAGGGGTGTGAATCATGTTTTCACCTTTTTATTACCTCCCAAAGCTAGTTAAATGTCCCATAAATCAAATTAATGATGTGTTATATAGGGTAAAAATAAGGACATAATGAAAGTATAATTTCATAAATCACACAGTTTATTGCCATACAAGCAGAATTTTTTTCTTAGGTTCACAATGCTTGCAGGGGTGAATGACATGAACAAACCCCAGAGGAAATATACTCAATAGACAAGGTACATTAACCACATGGTGAATGAGTTCCAGAAGTTCTGATGTCCACTTGCTCAGTTAGGATGGAAGCAGGCCTCTGTGCAAAGTAAAAACTAATTAAAGTTTGAGGTATCTCAAGAGAAGATGGTTTGACCACACAATGCAGACTACATTTAAGGTCCCTAGATGCTGGAGGGTGGGGCCAGCAAGGATGCAAGAGATTAGCTCCAAAGATAACAGGGTATTGCCCTGTTTCAGCATCCAGAAACAGCTGCCAGAGTGCAAGGCATCACAGCATGTACTGTCAAAATATCTGTTAAACTCTTGGTAGAGACAGAGTCTCACTTTATTGCCCTCCGTAGAGTGCTATGGCATCACACAGCTCACAACAATCTCCACCTCCTGGGCTTAGGCAATTCTCTTGCGTCAGCCTCCTGAGTAGCTGGGACTATAGGTGCCCACCACAACACCTGGGTATTTTTTCTTATTGTTGGTGTTGCAATTTGGCCGGGGTCAGGTTTGAACCCGCCACCCTCAGTATATGGAGCTAGCACCCTACCAGACCACAGGCACCACCTGTCTTATAAACTCTTAAGGTTTTTTTTGTTTGTTTTGGGGGAGTTTTTTTGAGACAGAGTCTCACTTTGATACCCTTGGTAGAGTGCGTGGCATCATAGCTCACAGCAACCTCAAACTCCTGGGCTCAAGCAACTCTCTTGTCTCAGCCTCCCAAGTATTTGGGACTACAGGTGTCCACCACACACCCAGCTATTTTTTAGAGATGGCGTCTTGCTCTTACTCAGGCTGGTCTGAACTCCAGAGCTCTGGCTATCCACCTACCTAGGCCTCCATAAGTGCTAGGATTACAGGTGTGAGCCACCATGCCTGGCCTCAAACTCTTGAGTTTATGTGTATTTTTGAAGTCCAGTAGTTGAAGTCAGTAGTTAACATATAGGGGTCAGATAAGGTTTGAGGTAATATGCCCAAGGGGAAGAGGGAGTTTACTCCAGGTTCTCATATTTGGGATCTGATAAGACATCACTCTCAAAGGGAGAAGGAATATGCTCTAAAACATCAAACTATGTAAGTGGAATTATTTGAAGCTACATAACATAATGATAACCATAGTGTCTCATTTAGAAAGACACTGTGATAATTTAGAAAAAGTAAGATACAACAAGGATTTTAAGAAACCTTAAACAAGCTAATTAGAAAAAGATGTAAAGAATTTTAAGAAATCTGAAATATTCAAGACCACTATGAGCTAGAGCAAAATAGCCCCATCTCAAAATAGCCGGGCTTTGTAATGGGCACCTGTAGACCCAGCTACTCAGGAGACTGAAGCAAGAGGATCAGTTGAGCCCAGGAGTTTGAGGTTGCTGTGAGCTATGACTTCACAGCACTCTATGGAGAGCGACAAAGTGAGACTCTGTCTCAAAGAAAAAAAAATCTGAAATAATTAAATTCCAAGTCCTCCTATTGGTCTGAAAGTTGTTTTTCTCTTAGTTGTAGGGCTTCATTTTGAACATTTATGCTGCTTATTACATACAAAGTCTCCTGTGGAATACATTGACAGCTATTCTCCATAAGACTTGTATAATGAGGGGAAAAAATAAACCCTATAACAAGCTTTAACAAATTGTCATTTGTCAGGAGAAATTAAATTTTTACTAAATCCCACTACTGTGATAGACATAAAATATACATGTGTCCCCATTTATATCACTAACACGTTAATCAAGCTAAGAGTCAAATTAACAAGTTTACTGTTTTTTTTTCCATCAGAAATACTTTAAAAGGAGAGAAATTGACTCCATCAGAAAAATTGCAGCTGACCATTTTAATCAGGTAAGGAGTTAATTAGGTGAGATTTTTTCCTTACAGGTATTCAATTTTTTTTTTTTTTGAGACAGAGTCTCACCATGTCACCCTTGGTAGAGTGCCAGGCATCACAGCTCACAGCAACCTCAAACTCTTGGACTCAAGTGATTCTCCTGCCTCAGCCTCCCAAGCAGCTGGGACTACAGGTGCCCGCAACAAGGCCCAGCTATTTTTTGTGGCAGTTGTCATTGTTGGTTAGCTGGCCCAGGCCGGGTTCAAACCCGCCAACTTCCCAACTTCAGTGTATGTGGCTGGCACCATAACCACTGTTCTACGGGTGCTGAGCCAATATTTTTTAAGTAATAATTGCTTGAACTCTTGAACTCTCTTGAGGGTCTTACTATTTCATATCATTCTACTTTTCTTCTTTTTTTTTTTTAGAGACAGGGACTCACTCTGTCCTCCTGGTTAGAGTGCCGTGGTGTCATCACAGCAGCCTCCAACTCCTGGGTTCAAGCCATCTTCCTGCCTCAGCCTCTTGAGTAGCTGGGACTACAGGTGCCCACCATAGCTGGGTAATTTTTCTATTTTTTGTAGAGACAGGGGTCTTGCTCTTGCTCAGACTTCTATTTTTGAATTTTTAAAGTTAATCTTATTCTTAAGTATAACTAAGACTTCAACTTAGTTGAATTCACCATTAATCAGAATGTGAAAGTTCAGCTATATGGTTTTAAACAGTCTCACCAAGCTTTGACTTTATTGGCTATCAGTCTACGACTATAGCCTTTTCAAATAAGCCAAGGTAGGCTGAACGTGATGGCTCACTCCTGTAATTCTAGCACCTTGGGAGGCTGAGGCAGGTGGATTGCTTGAGCCTGAGCAAGAGCAAGACCCCATCTCTATTAAAAATAGAAAAATACTAGCCAGGTGTGGTGGCAGACACTTATAGTCCCAACTATTCAAGAGGCTGAGACAAGAGGATCTCTTGAGTCCTAGACTTCAAGGTTGCTATAAGCTATGATGGTGCCATAGGACTCTACTCAGGGTGACAGAGACTCCATCTCAAAAAATAAATAAATAAACTTTATATCGATAAATAAATAAACAAAGTTATTTTAATCTAGTTAGGAAAATAAACAGATATGCTGATGTTTAAATGCAAGTATGGCAGGTGTGGGAAAAAAAACTGTATCTATTGTTCTTCCTATATCAGTTTTTAGAATTCTGAATGTTTTTATTTTTGTTTTTTTGTTTTTTTTTTTGAGAGAGAGAGAGAGTCTCAGTTGCCCAGACTAGAGTGCCATGCATCAGCCTAGTTCACAGCAACTTTAAACTCCTGAGCTTAAGTGATCGCCTGGCCTGAATATACCTTTGACAGACATTTTGTGTTCTTGGGTTTTTGTGAATAGTAGAATTAAAACAGGGAAGAATAAGAGTTCTTCACCTGCCACCTATGTGGCTAATTTTTCTATTTTTAGTAGAGACAGGATCTCATTCTTGCCCAGGCTGGTCTTGAACTCCTGAGTTCAAGTGATCCTCCCTACCATAGCCTCCCAGGGTGCTCAGATTACAGGCATGAGGCATCTTGCCCAGCCTTTCCTTCCTAATTTTCATTATTTTTATATAGGAAAAAGGTGCAGCTATTATTTTTAAATGTATTAACAATTTAACTTGATTTGGCTTCAAGTTCTTTTTAATATACGTATTAATTTTTAGCAACATAATACATATACTTGGTTAAAAATAAAAGAGGAGAGATAAGGCTCCCATCCACATACCTCACCTAGTTACTCCGTACCTACTGCATAGCTGCCTTTCTGGACCCTTTCTTCATTCCTCTTCTGAGTTTAAGCCACTCTTCCTGGATTCCAGATCTTCTTTCTTATTGATGCTAGAGTATGTACTCAAGTAACTTCTAAGACAGCATGTGAGAGGTCAATTTTCTGAGTCCTTACATGCCTAAAAACGCCTATATGTTCAAAACGTAACACTTGAATAATAATTTGGCTTGGTATAAAATTCTGATTGACAGCCATGCCATCCTGGAACAATGCTATCCAATAGAACTTTCTGTAATGATGGGAATGCCTTATATCTGCATTATGGTAACCAATAGCTAATATTGAATGCTTTGAAACAGGCTAGTATAACTGGAGGTTTTAGCATCCTAGAACAACGCTATCCAATAGAACTTTCTGTAATGATGAGAATGCCTTATAACTGCATTATGGTAACCAATAGCTAGTATAGCTATTGAATGCTTTGAAACAGGCTAGTATAACTAAAGGTTTTACTTCATTTTATTTAAATTAATTTAAATTTAAGCCAGGTGCAGTGGCTCATTCCTATAATCCCAGTACTCTGGGAGGCCAAGGCCAGTGGATTGCTTGAGCTCAGGAGTTCAAGTCCAGCTTGAGCAAGAGTGAGATCCTATTGCTACTAAAAATAGAAAAGCTTAGGGCAGCACCCATAGCTCAATGGGTAGGGCACCGGCCACATACACCAAGGCTGGTGGGTTCAAACCCGGCCTGGGCCAGCTAAAACAATGACAACTGTAACAAAAAAATAGCTGGGTATTGTGGTGGATGCCTGTAGTCCCAGATACTTGAGAGGCTGAGGCAAGAGAATTGCTTAAGCCCAAGAGTTTGAGGTTGCTGTGAGCTATGACGCCACGGCACTCTACCCAGTATGACCAGGGTGACAGCATGAGACTCTGTCTCAAAAAAATAAAAATAGAAAAACTAGCCAGGCATTGTGGCAGGCACCTGCAGGTCTAGCTCCTGAAGACACTGAGACAAGATCACTTGAGCCCAAGGGTTTGAAGTTTCTGTGAGCCATAGGATGATGCCATGGCTCTCTACCCAGGGACCCAGGGACTTTGTCTCAAAAATAAATAACAAGGCTCCGTGCCCGTAGCACAGTGGTTATGCAGCCACATACACCGAAGGTGGCGGGTTCGAACCCAGCCCGGGCCAGCTAAACAAGAACAAAAAATAGCTGGGCATTGTGGCAGGCACCTGTAGTCCCAGCTACTTAGGAGGCTGAGGCAAGAGAATTGCTTAAGCCCGAGGGTTTGAGGTTGCTGTGAGCTGTGACACCACGATACTCTACCGAGGGTGACATAGTGAGACTCTGTCTCAAAAAAATAAATTTATTTAAATAAGTAAATAAGCAAACTAGCTAGCCACAGCATGTGACCAGACAGCATAGACTTAGGACATCGAGCATTGATTTATTTTTCTTCTCTCATCTGTTGTTACTGATGAGAATCTGATGCATGTATGAATTTATCCTCCCCTATATAGAAGACTGACTTTTTTTCTCTTTGAAAGCTTCTAACCTCCTGATTCTTAATGTTCTTTTTTGGTTTCTTTTTTGAGACAGAATCTCACTATGTCACTCTCAAACTCCTGGGCTTAAGTAATTCCCTTGCCTCAGCCTCCCAAATAGCGGGGACTTCTTTTCTTTTTTTTTTTTTGAGACAGAATCTTACTATGTTGCTCTTGGTAGAGTAATATGGTGTCACAG